AGTTTGTGGCAGTAGGAATTTACTTTTTCATACGGATTTTCCCTACTCCTTCTGTTGTCTTAACTGCTAATATTAATAAAGGGCTATTAATAGTGCATTCTTTATTTGCAGAAGAGGAGGGAAAATGAAACTATGTTCCTTTATAAGCTACCCAGCTAGAAAATGATGACAAAAAAAAAAAAAAAAAAAGGCAGAAGAAACTGTGAAATGTTTACCAGAGATTTAAAAAATAGTAGGCCTTTAATAGCATTTTGGATTAGTTAGAGTTGGAAGAGCAACTATGGTTGTTTGAATAGCTACGTATATTTAATTTTTGTAAATATCAAGCCTTGCAGCTGTCATTTACAATTTTTTTTTCCTCCAAATTAAATAGAACTTGGGCATGAAAAGGCAGGTACTTCTGCATGCATCCATACATATGCCTGCATTTGGCCCCACTAAAGTGCATGTCTAACTTTAGGCATATGTTCAGATCTCAAAGTTCAGAAGGATTGAAACCTGCAAGCTAGTCAAATGAATTAAAGTCCAGGTCTGTGCAACAGACAGAAGTCCATGAGATGTCCCAGATAGCACTGAGGTACCAAGTCTATCAGCATGATGATATTCAGGTCCTGGAGACATGCAACTTCAACTATTTGCCAAATCCTCCTAAGATGACTCAGGATTTTGGATGCTCTTGCAATGAGAGAAAGCAAAAACTATGCAGGAGTCCACCACAGAAATACATTGTATTATTCTGCCTCACTCTTAAATGCCTATAACACTGTCTCTGTGTTCTAGAGGCTTAGTTAGCCATCTTGTTCTTCAACATAAAGGCATTTTTGGTCTATATAGGACAATCAAATTTCATCCCTAAATTTATCAGGTAACAGCTTCTGAGTTGCACAATTTGGAGAAAATGCAGAAGTATTAACTTATATGGCCTTAGGCACTAACAAAAGTGACAAAGTGTCAAGAATTTTTGATAGTTGAGACATTATGATCTCTAGTTAAATTTCTAAAAGACTGACAAAGCAAATTAATACCTTTTGAATACCTTTAGCCTCCTATTCAGGGAAAGTAACTAAGTTCTAGAAGTCACAAACAGTGTTCTGGAGGTTACAACAAGGAAAAGGGCTGCCATAAGATGATGTTTTGAGTCATCAGTGCAGATTAATGCAAGGATATCTATAAAGTCTTCAGCATTATAGCATGAAGTCCTTCTACATTTCCAATATTGATAAGAATTTTTGCTTTAGAATTTGCTGACAATAGAGTTTTACATGAAGCAAAGGTATCCTCAAAAATACTACTGTTCAACATCTGCTGCTAGAAAACTATAGTATATAAGGGCTTTTTTTTTTTTTTTTTTTTTAATAGGTTTATATTGTTGTCATATACTAATGCACGAATATCTCCTCTAGGAAATGGGCCACCTTTATAGTGTTACAGCTTTGAGAAAATATCAGACCTCTAGAACTTCAGTTATTACTAATAGTTTTCCTTCCTTCTTTCTATCAAGCAGTATTTTACTTTTATGCTGTTTTGAAAACATTCAGAATAATGAACTGAAACATCTAATCATCCAACAAGCAACACTAAATAGTAGATTAAATTTAGCTTAATATTAAAAATAATTTTTATACAAGTCCAAAAGCATAAATGTAAATTATAGTAATGCACAGAATGCATTTGGATTTGCAATTTTTTTCTTTAGATTTAATACATATTATTCATGTCTGATAAAAACTCAGATTACTGAAGCTGGATTAATAAAAGTCTCCTCTAAATTTATAATTCATTGGTAATTTAAGCATTTTGATCAAATTTTTTACTTTCTAGTAATTCTTCATAGCACAACTTATGCAATGACCTACACAAGAAGTTCTGTGATTTGCCATATTCCAGCAGATTCAGTAGCTTTGTTTAGAGGGCAGCTGCCAAAACCTGAGTCACTAAGTCAATCTGTAACATGCCTGCTTGTATAACTTGTATTCATTGGCAGCGCTCAAGGGGTTTGTGTATCTGTTGTTGGATACATAATTTTACTCACATATCAGAAACTGAAGTGATAAGTTTGTTTAAAAAATAATTTAAAAATTGTACTCATTAAATCAGATGGAGATCGATATCTGCTTTACATCCTGCACCACCCTTGTACCTGGTGGCTGAAGAAAGGAGAACCTGAAGCTCTTAAAAAAGCAAAGCTCTTCCTACACATTACCCTTTTGATCAAAAGGACATCTTTAAAGCCCACCAGGATTTGTAACTGCTTTCATTTTAGAAGTTAGTGGATATCAGAAGAGTCACCTGAATCAGTTCATCACAAGTATCATGGTAACTTACCTGGAAAAGAGAAGACACATACCCTCTCTCTCTCTCTCAGCAAAATAAAGGAAGATAGAATAGGTTGAGATCTGTTCATTTATATACTGAATGCATCCCTGGTTAGGGAATTCCCTATATTTAAACTATGGAGAGAATAGGGGAGAGGAGAGTAACAAGCACATTGCTTGGCTTTGTAAGCTCATGTCAGATGAGATATACTGAAGTAGTTGGTGTCTCCACACAGAGATCTGTTGCACTTTTCCTGCAGATTTCATATCTCTGGGAGTTGTTTCCTAACTAAATGACTTGAGGACAATGAAAACTGGTAAATGTTTTGATAAAGAATTGGAAAGACCTTCAGAGTTTACTTTGCTTCCCATGCTGTCTAGAGGTTTTTTTTTTCAGACCTTCAGCTTTTAGTTTTGTAGGCAGAAACTTCAGTCCTGGATTAATAGCTTCTAGCTACCATTATTTTATTTCTCCTAAAATAGAGGTTTATTTAACGAAACAATTAACTTTTACCAATTTGATAACTCTGGCATCATTTCTAGTTGAGCTAATACAATTCAACTTCAGATTTTAAAGTTTGTTGAAGACTGTTTAGTTGTTCTTATTTATCTTTCTCTGGAAAAGAAAGGAAATGTTTTGGTTATTTTCTTGTCTCATTTGGCTTGTGAGGATGCCAGTCAGGTTGAAATCCAGAATATTAATTACCTTGTATACCATTACGTCAACATGATCTGGAGGAAACAGATTTTTCTGGGTTTCCTCTTCTAAATGATGTGGGCTAGAGGCAGATAGAGTTGGATATCTGAGGAACAGGCCCTCTCTAAGTACAAGCAGTTCCTTCTTTTCTAGTGAGGTATTTTTAAGTTTGTGTTCTGATAGTTGTTCTGATTTTGTGTTCTGACTGAAAGAAAATTATTTTTCATATTTGACATTTCCACACCAAGATCTTTGGTTTCTTCAACTTTGAGATAGTCTTATAGTCAAAGACTAGAAGATAAAGTGAAAGTGCCTGTGAGGAGATAAATCTGGTTTTGGTGTCAACTGACTGAAAAGGTTTCCCTTGAGATTATTTCCTTGCATAAAAGCATCTAATTCTTAACTAGTAAAAATCTTCTTCCTCTAATTTCCCTATAACCGCTCATTTCTACTAAAGCACTGCTGACTGTGCTTTCAAGTGTCATTTTCAAAAGACTTTTAATATTCTTTTTAGTCATTAGAGAAACAAAAAAGAAGCTTCATTTTTATAGAAAAGATAAATTAGAAGTTGCATATGAAAGCTTTACTGAGCTTGTTATTGATAAACATGATCCTGAATTTTGCTGACAGTATATTGGATACCAGGAAGCACTTCTGCTATTTTTCTTGGCAGGTAGGAAGCTCAGGGCAAAATGTTCCATGTCAAAGACTGTATATTCTGATCCCTCATGCAAATATTTCCAGCATTACTGACCTGATATTATATGATCTATTAGATAATTTGTGAGATTTCTGATAAGAGAAACTCCCAGGGATCCTGCTGTGACTGATCTAATGTAAGGGGAAATAATTTGATCTTTTAGTAGTAATTGATATTTAAACATAATTTCTCTTTCATGTACAATAATCATGAATTTATGATGTTACATTACCAATAAATTTGACTTCAATATGCAATACATTTAGAAACAAAGATACTGATTAGGAAAGAAAAAAAAATTGATATTACTGTTTAAAAGCATCTACATAACATAGTGCACCATAACATTTATTTCCTTAGAAAAGGAGTCAAGCAAGTTTTTGAAGGTCTGTATTCCTACACATGAAGTTCTGAAAAAAAAAATAAATAGACTGAATGACACTGTTCCTGCCACCACGTTTGGCAACAGATAGGGACAAGCACGTGAATTCTGTTATAGAAGGTGCAAGGCATCAACAGCATTTTGCAGAAAGAGTCACATTGTCGCTAACTCCACACATTAATTCTTAAACTTACCAATAACTTCTTCTACTGCACAGGCTGGCATGAGCTAAAAGTTGGAGCAAATATATGAAGCCTTTCATTTCTTGGATAAAAGAGTAAAAAAAAAGAAAGTTTACTGAAAAATAATGGCTTTGGAGGTCATAATTTAGTAGACGTATCGGGTGAAACTTAAGGCAATTTAAAAAGGAAAAGTAAGTGACAGCACAAATCTGACCATTCCTCACGCTGCCCCTATTCCAGGGACTCTGGATGTGGATAAGGAAGCATGGCAGGACAGATGTGCAGATTCGTGATGTTCAGCAGAAGCACACACTGGGCTGCCCAACATGGAAAATGCAGTTTTTAGCTTCTGGAAGACCTGGCACCTGCTGCCTTGGCAGAACATTTATCTCAGCAGTTTGATATGACAACACAGTGATATAAACAGTGGTTCTCCAGCTGTACTCTCCTTCACTTCATTGCAGCTGGCCACATTATCCATTTCCTCAGTGGGCTGCTCCTGTAAATAACCAATAAAGCAGTGCAAGAAACCCAAGGGACTCTTCAGAGTCTTTAGTACCTCTCACAGACAAGTGACATGATTCAAGTCTGAGAAAGGCGAGCCAGTTCCTACTGGGAAGGTGTTGCCACCAGCATCGGTGGGGGTTTGCGGAGGCAAAATACGACTTGCATGCCCACATCCTGACCAGGCAGGGAGATGTTGACAAGCATGGGCTTAGGCTTGTCTCTTCTGCTGTTCTTTCTTACACTTGGCCTGAGGAGGAAAGCATGCTTAATAATATCTAGTTTCCAAACCACAATGGGTACTTGCCAATGTAGAGCTGCTACAGTTTTTCAGAAAGTAAATTGTACATTGGTAATTTTGGCTCTCTTATCAGCTTCAGGTTTCTCTCTGCCTTCAGCTATCCATTATTTTCTCTGTTATAAACAACTTTTTCACCTCTCTTCACTTATATGATCAGAGCCAAGGCACCCCATGCATCTTTGGTTTACAGACAATTTGTGAGCTCTGACATGCTATAAAAATACTCCTGAATAAATACAAGTGTTCTCTTTCTTGCTAATCTTGCAACAGTCAGGGCTTTAGGAGACTATGGAAGGTCTATTAAGCAAAGAAGTATATCAAAGAAATGGAGAAAAAAAAGTGTAAGCAAAACATCTTGTGAAATCCCTCCTTTCTGTGACGTTTCCATGTTCAAATTCTTCTCAGTAGATATTACACAACATCAAATTAGTAATGCAAACCTAAGTTAGCAACAAACACACACACAAAAATCTACCACAGCAAAAATATTTCATTCATGTCAGGTAAAATGTGACTTTCTGCTGCAAGAAAGTTCGTAGGCATCATGTTGTGGGATGGTTAGGCACCAGCAAACAGTTCTGACAAAATGCAAAGTGAACGGGCAGCCAATAGGCAGGGCAGACCACCATGTTTTGATTTTCCTTCCCAGCAAACTCTACCAGTCTCCCACAAAAAGGCAGAACAAGAATGTGAAACTCAATCAGTGTTTACAGGACCATTTCATTCAGGTAACCCTAATCTCATTCTTCCTCCTCCTCCTTTCTTTGCTAGATCACACCCGAGTTCCTCTCTTATCTAACACTTAGATGGAGCCTCTTACTCCATCCTTCAGTCTACCAAATCACTGACCTTAATCTCACATCTCTCTCGAATTGGCTGTACTGAAAAGAAACCCATGGAAGCAAATGGTACCCAGCAGCTTCTAGCTAGGATAGGCAAAGGGATTCATAAATCAAACTACAAAACATAGTGAATGACAAAGGTCTAATGAACAAAACCAAAATCATACACACAAAAAATACAGTAGAAGGTACCTCTGAACTCTGTTTTCTGTTTTTGACCTCCAATCAGCTCTTGTTTTGACATAGCCTCTGAACATTATGTGACTAATATCAAGACAGAAACACAGCCTTGTTTCAATTTGCCTTTCTCAAAACACTCACCAGAAACCTCTCCTTGAGGAACACTCTTTTTGCTGAATGTGTGTTGAAATAGGTGAGTTCCCTAGAAAAAGCAGCCTGTTCTGGGAACTGTAATGAAACTCATAGTTCACAGGCTTGTGGCAATTTCCACAAAGCAAGCATTTGGGGCTGGTTTTTAGAGAGCCCACCACAACTTCTTAAACACTAGGAATATTTCAAGTTTAAACTTTCAGTGTTACATCTAGACCTACCCAATCTTGGCAGGAGGCTGTGTTAATCTTAACACCAAAACCTCAATGACACTTAACACAGAACTTGATAGGTATAAAATACTAGCATATTGTCACTAAAACATTGGAAAACATTCATGATTTTCTTCAGCTTTTTGTTTGTATTAATATTTATGAACTACGAAAATGTTACAAATGTAAGTTTTAAAACTTTTACTTTCAACATATCTTCTTACTTACTTTTTAAAAGTGAAAAATTTCAACTTATACATTTGGTTTCCCTTGAGACAAAAATGTCAGCTTCTGTTTACAGTCTAATTGACATAATTTCAAACCACTAATGAAATGAAATATGCATTACCTACGCAGTTTATTTGTATGCTTCCCTCCAGAGTTCATTGTATGATTCCCAGAATGCTGATTTCTTCATTGCTTTTCCTTACACAGTCCATAAACCTATCAGGGATCCAAGAGAAGTTTAAGTAAAATTAAAAAAAAAGAATAAATAATTTTTAAAAAAACACTCCAGAAATCCTAGTCTTGTAATGACATCCTGTACTGCTACCTTACACACTTGACTGCCTTGTAGTAATGAAGCGTCTTATTTTCTATGCCTGGCTGTCCAGTAAACCATGACTAGACCACGCCAGTAGGACCTGACCCCAGGAGATATTGAAAATGAAATCCTAGATGAAATCCTAGCTTCAAAAAAAGCCTGTGAATCTTTGCCATTTACCTCCACAGAGATAGTTTTTTGCATGGCAAACGTTATACGGTTGCCTGGTAGCTCTGGGGTACAGAAACAGAACTCTGGAGGGCTCTTTAACCATTTGCCCAGTGCTGCGCTTTGCATCTGGCAAACCTTTAATCAGAGGGAGAAAGTACATAACAAACACCTTTCTACAAAGCAGTAAGAAGTAGCCCACAAGATACCACACCACCAACTCCCCCTCGTGCCCAACCACCACCCGTGAGGACTTACACATTGCAATTTCAACGCTAAGGACTTTGAACCCCGAGAACTCTCATTTTAAAGGAAGAGCTCCTGCCATATGCAACAAACTTTGTTTTGCTGAATATTTATTTCTATTTTCTCTGGCAGCCCTTTGTATAAGTCTAAAATGAAACTAGCTGCTGCCCCCTCAGAGTTTAGCACCAATGAGAATGGGTAAGGAATTAATTTAAATGGAAAACCAGTAATACAGGCTGAATATTTACATATCAAACTTAATTCTGTAAAATAGTTAGTAAAAATGAGTGTTACAGGAACAATGCAGCTAGATAAACAATAAACCCTACTTTTTCCAGAACATATAATACCAGTTTGAATTTGCAAGAATCAGCTGTGGAATACAAAATGGAAAAACATAGGCTTCAGACAAAAAACAAACAAACACCACCACCACAATAGCAGAGTGCTTAGCTGAGGTATATTACTAAAAAAATTGAAACAATAAAGTTAGATGGAGATTAAAGAGCATGTGTAAAATATATAAACACATGGGTAAAGTCTGCTTAGAAAGCAGTTAAATTATGGACAATTGAACAGTAAGCACAAGTTGAACGTTACTGATCAGTCACAGAAAATAGCACATGCAGGGATAAACATGCAAGTTATTTGCTCTGTAGCTAAGTAGAAGGTAAAGTTCTGGCAATCAAACTGTTTTGATTCATTTCATCAGAGCTGGGTTGTTTCACATGCATTGTATTTGCAGGGATTTTTTATACTTGTTTATTTTTAATAATTAACTTGTTTATTTTTAATAATTTTAATAATTAACCAGTTAATTATCGCGATGAATAAAGCCTCTGCATGTGCTTCTTGTAGTTGACATAGTAGAAACAGAAGTGGAGAACATTTTTAAGCAATTCAGCGACCAAAGACACTTTTAAAAGACCAAGAATGGGCCCATCCAACCACTGCAGTTAGCCATTAAGAATGGAAGTATTTTTAAGTGGTTACCTAATTCTGCCTCAGATACTCATGTATTAGTGGGTAAATCACTAGCAATTAGAAGCTATAAATTCACAGGCAAAAAAAAACGAAAATCATTCATCCTCTCAACAGCTCTTGCTATGCTGAAATAGGGGAACCTCCATCATATTGCCCGAACACCAAAATGTTCTTTCATTAACTCCCACAACACAGCACATGCAGTACCTGCAATCATCAGGCTTTTATTTTGCTCTTTTAATTAGTAAAGAATCCAGGAGCAAAATTATTTCCTGCATACGTAGCCACAAGTTACAATAGCTCATAATGACATCCCTTATCTGCCTTGATCTTTGCTTCCTATTGTTTGCTAGGTTTTTTGGGAACACTTTGTATAATAATTACACTTGTAGAACAACAACAACAAATTAAATTAAAATAATTAAATAATAAGAAGAATAAATTAACTTGTTTTTCCTGAAACACTTCCATATACAAAATGGGTTTGAGAAAGGAGATTTAACTTACACGACTAGACTCAAATTCAATAAACTAAGCAAGCTGCTATTACCAGACACCGCAAGTCAGGGCAGAGGCTGAACCCCAGTGCTGTCCATAGTCAGGCAGATGACAGCTGTGGGGATGTTCAGGAGCAGGTTTGACATTTGCTCATTTTGTTTTTCTTTTTTTAAGCAGATAAATGAGGATCCCAAGTATTATGCAAGCCCAAGATGTGGGACAGATTGGTCTTTTTTGCTCCTTCTGCCAAGTAGGAAGGAAGAAAAAAGAGGAATTAGAGTTATGTGTCCGAAACACATGCTGATGTTTTGTGAAGCATTTTTCATTAACCTTTTGGATCTGTTTTCTCCATTAACCTAAAAGCAATACTACTTGAAAGTATTTCCCCGTGCTTCATGTAAACACAGTGAACACAGCACAGCACAAGGAAGAATCGCACTTCCACATCCTGCCTCCGACTGTAGTCACCAGCACATTTAGCAGGTTTCAAGAGAGGGGAACGAAGCACTCTAGTTCCAGGGCAAGCCTCCCTCTGCTCCCATCATCCCAAATTCAATCATGCTTAGAAGATTTCAATCCAAAACCACTGTAACAGATATAAATAACTTTGCTATGCCTACAAAGAAGAGATTGTTCTTTCGTGATTTTGCTCTGGTGTTAGATAAACGTTCTTGAGATTTCCATCTCATGCCCAGCTTTACCTCTTCTCTTTACCAGCTAGGCACACACACGCTTCTAGCCCACGATTGCTGATAGCATCCATCAGAAATAGGAAAATACCACAAATGTTGTACAGTTTGTTTCTACTCTACAGCTCCCTGCAAAGTCCATCAACGTGCTTCAAATTAACCAGTGTGCTTGGTGATCATCAAAATTCAGAAGAAATTATTGCACTATTTTTCTACAAAAATTTATTAACCATACAAACCCATTACTCTGACATTCTCAACTTTATAAGTCATTATCTAAATGTCTTTATTGAAACTAGTGCTACTTCTTAACAAGATACAAGGTTGCCAATGTCTTCCTGATCTTCTTCAAAGTACTTTTAATTTCTAAGGCTGTTACAAAATCAATCGGGAGAGCTGCTCCATTTCTCACACCTATCTGTATTTACCTATGAGTTCTGCTTTCTTCAAACAAATCTCAAAGGTGAACTGAAAAAGAAAAGCAAAAATTCTTTCAATGTCTGTGCTGAATATTCCCAAACTGAGGAAAAAAGGCAAAAGCATAAAGTTTAAGCGAGTTTTTTAATAATACCACTCATTATAAACTTAATTTTCTTTCTTTCTATCCTAGGAATAGGTTATTCTCTGATATATGAGGTCATCGAAATCTCATTCCTAGTGAAAAGTCTTAGAAGATAATAAGGTTTATAATTGTATTTTTGTAGTAAGTGAGAAGGTAAAAAATAGTACAAGAATTTAGATCAAACTATTTTTTTCTTTCTTTTTTTAAGGTATATTAAGTATAGCTTAATGTTATATCATAATTCTTGCAGGGCATTATCACCCGGAATAATTAGTTTTAGAACATTAGCATAGGATTTTCAAATTACACTCTTATCTTTGGCATTCACTTTACTTCGGCATTCAATAAGCCAAGGAAGACTTGCTGAAGGAGGTCACCCAGCATAGCTCAACAGAGGTTGTCCCTTATACTTGGTCTGTTGGTTTGGTCTACTTTGTTTTACAAAAGCTCACCCTACTGGATTCCCACTACCTCTGCCCAGCCCTTGATAATTTCATTCTTACATGTGAAAACCTCTTAAGGAGCTTTTTCACATATTTGACTCTTTAATCTATTTGACAGATTTTATCCTTTTGCATTGGCTTCTTGGCTCACGCTAAATGATTCCGTTTAGTTTTTGTATCTGTACATAAAAGGAGTTGACAACTATGACAACTTGGTTTCTGGTTATTTTTTTTTCCCCTTTTCTTCTTTTTCTCCCCACTTCTCTGAACTAATGAACGTCCATACTATGACACAGATATAGGCTGGGTAAGAAAAAAGAGGAACAGCAAAGAGGCCCCAAGGAGCTCTTGAAGCGAAGGAAAATATCTTTCAGCTAGTGCAAAATATAAGTGGGAGCCAACACAGGGATGCAACCTCCCAAAATAACTTATACTGCCAACTATTCTGTTTAATAAATAATTAGTAATCGACTAATCTGCTTCAATTTTACAAGCTAAAAACAATACACACATTTATTACACAACAGAAAGAGGCAAAGAAAATTGTGTTTACATTCTTCTCATGCAACAGTGTCTTTTTATCACTAACAATATCGTATTATGTACATTGTACATGCAGAGTTGGATCGATCAAAACAGCAGATCATATGAAATGAGCTTGTAAGCTGCTCCATCTTTTGAGATGCTCCATTATTTTCTCCATAAATATTTTGATTAATTGAGGATTCCCACAAAGGAGAGCCTTACTATGAATCACCTCCAGTCTGGCCAGCTTTCATTAGGCCACAGGAATGTTCCCACTCTGAAACGTACATTTAATTGGGAGGAATTCATCAACTGTTTAGAAAGGAGGAAAACACAATAACATCCATCTGTCTGAGAGCTCAGTACTTTTAGGATACTTGGCTCAGTAATAAAGTGTGTTATAATTTTTGGATACCTTTTTCTCCCTTGCTAAGTGCCTGAAAATCTTCAGCATAAAGGCAACTAGATTCTCTTATCTTTTCTTTCCCTTTCCATCTCTCTCCACATGCAACAATATGAAGTTTGTGCCATCTTTACATGTTGCTAACTATTGTCTAAAACATGTTTATCCAGGAAGTCTAAGATAGTCACAACTTACTCCATTCAATTATTCAAGCAATAGAATTCCCAAAAAGGAAGAAAGTTTCTACCACTGCACCAAAGAAGCACCTCACAACACCAGTTATTCACAGAACATGGATGGGTTAAACCGTAACATATTTTGATGGAGTCCTGATCGAGTCATCCCACAATAAAAAGGAACATTGCATTGCAACACAGAGTCT